TCTTAATTCCCAGACATTGAGTGCAGTGATTCATACTGGAAGACCGGTTGCCTGGAAGATAAGGTTTAACATTTGCGTTTGCTCAGCTGATGGATAGCACTGGAAGCAGACATGCAGCAGGCTGGACAGGGAAGGACGGCAAACTGCTCTTTCTGGTGCCCATCGTGTTTACGATCAGGACGGTGTGATGCGAATCCGTGCCAGGGCACTGCACACACATTTTGGGTTCCTTGGCCACACAGGGAATCAGACCCAAGCTTGGGCCATGTGAAAACAAGGATGTGCATGTGTCTCAGGAAGACAGGGTAGCTTCCACCCCCAGTGTGATTACTGTTAGACACAACTTAAAGGAAGGAGAGAACCAACAGGCAGCCCTGGTCTTACAAAGTGGGCTGTCTTAGCAAGGCAGCCCAGAGTGCTCAATGCATACTGGAATTTGGAAATGGGCACAGGCTCTGGGCACACCTTGTTCCTGGATGTCTGTGTCTAGTAAGAAGGCAAGCTCTGGACCCTGGTTCCTGCAGCGCCACACTGCCACCTAGTGGTTGCTTCTGGGTGCTGCAAGGCAGCCTGGAAAGATGCTTCCGTTTTTCAGCAATTTCTTAGACGGGGGCTTCATAAGGCCCCTGTGCAGCCATTCCAGTCTGCAGTACCAAGGGAACTTCACGTAGGCAAACCTTTCCTCATGTAGTTTGATTGTGAGATGCTTTTGGTGAATCAAAAGCTGTCCCCCAAATTAGCTCAGCATTCCAGGTAACCAGGAATCCTATGGAACTCTAGCCCGGGGAACTCCCCTAGCCTTTCAGACCCTTCAGTCACCCCAGATCTGGGCAGAATCTGGGGCTGCAAAGGGGAGGATTGGAACCAACTGTAGATAAGCATGTCTGCCCCCCCCAAAGGGATTTGTTTAGTTTTACAAGCCATACATAGAGCTGTAAAAAAATACAATGTGAAAAAAAAAATCTTCAGAATAAAACAGTGTCTTTGGTACTGGAAAGAACAGCCCCAGCAAACTCCTTGGCCTCTCAGCAAGCCAAACCCCTATTCCCAGAGGACTGAGGATGAGTAGGGAAGTGGGCAGGAGCCATGCTGGGGGGGTAGGGGGCAACTGCCAGCAATGCTTTTAAACTCTGCACAATAAGAGTGTGTTCTTCCACTAGCACGGTAGGGGAGGCAGGAAAATAAAGACTGCTCCCTGATACATTCATTTGGGTGCAGAAAAATGAGCAGTCACTAGGCAGAGACAGCAGCTGTGTACAGGGCTTGCTCAGGTGTCTGTGTGATACATGCCCAAGAGGAAAGAAGGGGGTCACACACACAGGTGTTCAGAGATACAGAGCATTCCTACCCCACTGGAAACACTTCCAGACACAGTGAGGAAGCGAATGGATGGCATCTCCATGCTGAGATGGGAATGACAGAATTTGGCATTTAGAAACCCCAGGTGTCTTTCACTGTTTTGTTTTTATGAGGTCTGGGTCAAGAGGTTTCAGAGAAGCAGACTGGCTTTTTAAAAGATATTTGGCAAATGCAATTTAAGTGAATTAACTCTTCCTGTCTTAACAACCAGAATGGCTTGCCACTCTTTAGTGATGGTGACGCTGTGATGGTAATGGTGGTAATGGTGGTGTAGTGGTGGCCATGGTGATAGTGGCAGTGCTGTTGATAGTGGTGGTGGTGGTGGTGGTGCTGGTGATGATGATATGGTGGATAATGGTGATGGTGGTGGTGCTGTTGATGGTGGTGATGGTATTGGTGGTGCTAGTGGTGGTGGTGCTGTTTGGTGATGGTGGATAGTGGTCATGGTGGTAGTGGTGTGTGTGTGGGGGGGGAGTATTTAAATAAATGATGCAGACTCAGGAGTGAGCAGGATCCTCACCTTCTGGTCACCATGAATGAGAGGACAAGTCATCAATGTTTGATGCCCATGCACTGATGAAGCACCAGCTTTGCAGATGACCTTCAACTGTGCCTGCAGATGGGAAGCCATTCGACACTGGGGTTCCTCCCGCACTTAACTCCTCCCTAGCAGCTCTGAGATGATACAAGACTCTAATATAGGATAGCCAAACTCTCCAAGGCTTCTTGGTACAAGGAAGGTGACAAATATTGGGTTGATTTCAGGGGTCTCCTTTGCCTGCTCTACATCAGCCACAGGAGGGGACAGTTTTTTCTCTGCAGACAGGACAGAGTCCATGCTAATCTCATTTCCTGCCCATGCCAAGGATGAGTCACCACTTGGCTCCTTTGTTAAGTGGAGTTGCTGACATCTGCTTCATTTACTGCACAGGGATGGGGCAAGGACAATGGGAGGCAGCTACTGTAAAAGTGTGAGGCACCCAACTTGCCCCAGAAGAAAGTAGGTGGGGACATGTTGACAAATAAAGCATTAATCCATAGGAGGTCACCATCGACAATCTGGGAAGCACAGGTGATCTGAGGGGGGTCCTTAGGTATTCCTCATGAGGACAGGAAGTGGCTTGAACTGTGTCCTTTACACGGGGACTCTTCAGTGCTGTTTGACAATGTTGTGCAACACCGGTTCATGAGGCAGGCTTGCTGAGGTCTCCCCAAAGTAGCTGGCACTCCCACCTGCTCTAGAACCACCACAGGGAACTGGCAAACCGAGCTGCCAACTGGACACTCCAGGGTCAGGCCTGGTGGCCAAACCTGCCATACCCCAAAGTGGCAGGATGGAGGAAGGGAGCCCTTTTAGGTTGGAATGAGTGAACATGTGTCCCAGTTGCACTTGGTGTTACAGAGAGAGTCACCAAGATTCCCAGCACCCTGTTCCCCATTGTCAGTGTAGACACCCACCAGGAGGGCCCAAGACAAGGGATACAAATACAAATGGACAGAATTTAAGGCAGTTCGAGCTCTGTTTGGAGTAGAAATATCCTCATCCAGGTCTGAATTTTAAATAAATGGTGAGGGGTTTCACTCCATCTTTTGCGTCCTCTTTCTAGCCAATTCCGGCTCAATCCATCTGGGTAGAGCAGAGCCATGAAACTCCCTAAGTCCACAGCATGGGCTGCCAAAGGCCCTGGACTGGAAGAGTGGATGGAGGGACCTGCTGAGTCTGGGGACAAGGGAGTCTCTAGATTTCTCTCAGTGACACTCTGCTGACCCTGGCCCACACATAGAAAAGGAACCCCACCTGTAAAACACCTCCCTTGCCTCCTGCCTGGGATCCCCAGCCTGAGAGGGACAGGTCTCCAGTTACACCAAGTGGATATCACAGAAGGTCCCTCAAGTTCGTTTTAATAGGCTTTAGATTTAAACACAAATATGCAACACAGAAACTGGAGGGACAGGAAGAGGAATGTTGTGGCCCCATTAGACTAATCCCAGAGAATGCAAGCCCCCAGCCCCACCCCATCATGACATCCAGCCAGAACCTCTTTGTCCCAGCCTTTGGCAAACAGTCAGTGGGGACAGGGCCGGGCAGGTCTCCCAGCCTCCTAAAGAGACCAGTGCTGTTGGGCAGGTCTGTCTGCAGCAGGTGGGGACACTGCGGCATCTATATGAGGACACAGCACCCCAGCCTGGGAGGCAGATTTCCATGTCAAGAGCGGTCCAAATCCTAATGGTGTGGGGTATAGGTATTAAGGATGAGGCATGGCTGCTACTGCTGCCTGTGTTTTGGGGAGCAGTAATGGCTCAGATGAGGAGCCATATGTGATGGGTGTTGGTGATGAAGAAATTAAGCCAGGGCCATGTGGAAATGAGCTCTGAGCTCGGAGGCCCGGTCAGGGCTGCTTAGAACACAACTCTAGTCCACCTAGTAAGGGATTCCTTAGTTCTAACATTGCTACGACTTTGACCGCAACAGCCTAACACTGTACCACATTCTAGCATCACACACTGAAGTCTGTATTGCTGTGTAACTGCTTTTAGCATGTGCGGTTATGGAAGCGGTTCCTAATTCGGAGAGCTAAGCCGCTACCGAATTTGTGTCGGCAGGTTGTGCCTGCTGAAAGAATAAAGATTGTGTGTTTAGTCAACGTGGCATGATCTACTCTACTGGAAGGCCCAACTCAATACCACAGATCATGCAAAGCCACTAAAGGGAAAAGAACTGTTTCTCCACGGAGAAGCTACTGTGTGTGTCCCCAGAACGGGCAAAACCCTCGGAAGTTCACTAGAAACGAGGCATGCCTGAGGCCAAGAAGCCCAACTTGGAGCATGTGAGGCATATATACCACGTCTGCCTTCAGGTCAGCCACACATGTGTGACAGTGGGCAAGCCAACCCTTCCATGGGCCATTTCTTCCTGCTCAGTGGCTCTTCTTGCCATGGGCATGTTAGAAGGTAGACCTGGGCTCAGGACAACTTTGAGGGCTTTGGGGAGAAAAGTGCAGGGTCTTTGTCACAGGGAACAAAGGCATCGTTATCATCACCATATTGACTGTTTAAACTACTTCTTTCTTTTGTGTATCATGCTCCTAATCGTCCACAGCACTACATGAATATCTTTCACATTCTAATTCTACCATTTCAGAGACAATGGCCAGTCCAGTAGCCGAGGACTGCTGGCTGGCTGTTTCACTGGGCTTCTCTGTTTGGGAGATCCTTCTGGTCCTAGGTTAGGACCACGGTCAGATACAGAATTGCTCAATCATCCGGGAGAAAGTACAGCTGGGTTTCGGGGAGATCATGTGATGATCTAGCACCTCTTAGACAGTTTGGTTTTCTGGAAGTCCCTGCTAGAACCCCTGAGCCATCTCAATGTGCAACGATGGGATTGAGATACAGAACCAAATTGAAATGGGGTTGCCTAGGAAATGCAGGCCTGAGGGTCAGATTTCAATGAGTTGACTGTTCACAGCATCCTTTAGAGCTGTAATGGAATGAGGAGGACGCTTTTCTATTCTGTGCCTGGTCAAATATGGATCCATCAGCAGTATTCCTTCATGAGGATAGGACACGAACGGTCTTGGTCATCTCCAAGGTCATGTCCAAGGTCTCACCCTCACTCTACAAGGTCATGCTCCTCCATGTTTTTTTTTTTTTTTTTTTGAGGGTGCACTAATAGCTTATGACCAATTACAAGATGCCACTTAGGAAAAAAGCAAAACTTGTGTCACAAGACTGTATCGATGAGTCACTGTCATGAGTAACACTGGCAAAACGTTTCAACCCCCTTAGGGCTTCCCACTGTTATCCCTCATCCACTCACGACTGGAGGATTTGTAACTAAAACTTGCAGATGGAATAGTAGTGACCTCACGTCATGTTGACTATGAAGCCAATTGTTCCAAAGGCAGTTATCATTCACAAATCGCTGGTGTTTGTGTTAGAGTACCACTTGGTGGTAGATCAAAAGGCGCTTCTTCTCTGTATCTTTTTTTTTTCCTTTTTCTATTTTGGGTAGAAATATTCCTAGGAAGCTGGATAGAAATGCATTTTCATTTCCCAATAATTCTTAGGCACAAGTTAGAAAACTGCTGACCTTCACTAAAATATGTCAGCAAATCACGTTATAAAAAATGCAATTCAGAACCGCTGCATGTGTATATACGTATATCTAAATATACACACATATCGGTGCAGTACACAATGATTATTCAATGTATATTCAAAATTGAGCTATTTGAAACTAACCTGAAATTCTGCAGTGAAAGTTCATCACTCAAGAACAATTGGAGTTGTCTTTTGGCTCTAACTATAGTAAAACGTTTTTGCACACCAGACTCTACCATTTACACCTTCCTAAGCGCCAACACCACGACAGTCTTACACAGGGGTCAGAAGAGGATGCTGCCTAGGATGCATTATGCAGCTACTGAGCATGCGCGCATGGCGGCCGCCGGCACTTGGCCAGCACATGGTCAGCACTCCCCGGGGTGGACAGAAGCCTGAGCTCCCGCAGGCCGCGTGGTGACGTCATCTGGGCGTGGTGCTGACCCTGGCTGGGGAGGAGGGCCCGGATGAGGAGCCTCTGTAAACCGGGGATGTGGGGGAGAGTTTAATTGGGCTGGTTGGGTCCCCAGTTTGAAGCTTCCAAAGCAGCTCTTCATTGGTTCGGCTCAATCTCTTCTTCTCCTGGGTCTCTTTCTCCACATATTCCTGGAGATTAGCATTTTCCTCTGACAGCTGTCTGCATGGAGGAGGGAGGTGACAAACAGTTAGGCAGCAAGAAGCTAATGACACTGAACCTGAGATCAGGGATGGGTGGAGAGCAAGGAGAGGAGGAGGCCATGGCCTTCATGGGGAACAAGGACAGGTCTGCCGCAGGGACCAAGAACTTTGGTTGAAACTTAACTTCCGTCTCCCTGACTCATTCATTTCCAGAGCCTCTCTGCCAACACCTGATCTGCCCACAGGGCTTCTGGAAGGTTAAGGGTACATACTGGTTGCCCAGTGCCCACAGAAAATAGCAGAGACTGAAGAAGAAAGGAGGGAGGCAGGGGCAGTGCTGGTGTACTGCTGAGAGGCTTGGCGGAGAGTCAACCTCATGGAGATGGACACTGACCATGGCCATGGCACAGGGTGGCGATGGCCTCCAGGCAGCTGGGGGTGCCATGCCCTAGTCTCCCACCCCAGGCACTAGCCTTCACCATAGAAACTGTCCACCCTGCTGCAGAAGCTGTCTGTGTATCTGTCCACTGCTGGATGGGAAGTCCTAGAGGACAGGGGCCAAGGCTCTGCTTGTTGACTCCCTGGGTTCCGCCATGGCACATGGCACATGATAGATGCTTGGTCAGTGTTTGCTGATAAAGGATGCTGGATGAAATACGATTATGCTTTTTGTGCCTTCCGTCATGAAGACTGAGGTGCTGGTTTGTTGTGCGTTTTACAAATTGGTAGCACTTTTGAGGAACTGACAGGGGAAAGTACATGTGCACCTGAGAGCTGGACAGACGGAAGCCCTCTAGGACAAAGCCTGCATTTGCTCTTCTGATGAGGGTGACTTGCACATTCCTGGAGGCCAGTGCCACTCTGACACTTCCTCCCACTCTCAGCCTGTGTCTGCAGGAAGGCAGATGAGACAGCCCACCTATAGCCTAGGGCTTGGGGACCCACAGGACAAGGACACTGTGACCTGCACCCTACCTTCAGTCTTTTGTGTGTCTCTGAGGTGGGAACCAAGAGGCAGCATCAGGGGTTCAGTTGCAGAGCCAATGGCTGTGTGCGTGTGTGTCTGCCTTTGTGCAAGAGCATGTGTGAATGGGTGTGAGGTTAATGTGTGACTGAGGGTAGAGTGTGAGTGTGTGTGAGCAGGAGGGCAGGTGAGTGTGCCCAGTGCGTGTACATGTGAGTATGTGGGGGTGTTTGCACAGCATGCCCTGTCTAAGTGTATGTGCACAGGAGGACACACTGCGGGTGCACCAAGGAGCCCAGGTCAGTAGAGTGGGCAAGGCTTCCGGCCTGAGTCTCACCAAGGTGGCTCAGTCCTGTGGATGAAAGAGCCTCAGCAGGCCCCAAAGCCAAAATCCTGCCTCGGCCCATCTGCACTACGGGAGTGAGGAGCCCATCCCCTTCCTTGTAAGTCAGGGCTCCCCAGATCAGATCCTGCAGGGACAGGCAGGACTGAGATGGAAAGGGAAGATTCTGGAAGCCAGGAGGAGTAGGATGGTTGGTTCTCTTCTGCCTGGGAACACTCTACTGCTGTTTTTCTCTCAATCTCCTCCAGAAACAAATCTCTTGACCTCCCATTGCTGGTGGTGGCCCCTGCCACCTGCTTTTGCCAATTGTTCTCATTTCTCTTGATGGGGGGGGGCATTGCTCCCCAGCTTCCCCTCCAGGTTTTAGGCTAGAGGGTCACAGCTACGTGTTTTGTTTTGTTTTTCTGATCATATGGGAAATGCTAAAAGACTACACAAGGAATCTTCGAAGCTCAGAGCAAGGCAAATTAGATGAGAAGATGCTTAAGGGAAAGGCCATTTTGAGGGTGACATGATCTGTAAGCCCAGATTCCTACCTGGTGACAACTGTGTTCTGGTCAATCCTTGCTTTAAGGTCTTCATTCTGTTGTTGGAGGACTTGGATCTTTTCTTCCAGAATAATGTTCTTTTCTGCCTATAATGGAGACAGTATATAAGACATTTTCAGCAAGGTATGCAATAAACCAGTACCCGCTGCTTCTGGGCACTGGAGAATTATCAAGAGCAGAATTTTGCAAACTGCCCTTTACAATGCACTTGTGGGTTGTAAAATCAGGTTAGAGGGATGTGATCAGCATTTTTGTTTTAAACAAAATAAAACAGAGTAGAAAAATGCCAGAGTATGTAGTAAAAGTAAGCACTGTTGTCTGTGTTGTGGATATAAATTTTTTTATTCTGTATATATTATGTATATATGTGTACGGGGCTCTGTGTAAATATATTTCTTAGAGTGAGTGTCCCAGGCTACTGTCATTGTCAAATACAAATGGTGGCTAGCACCAGGACCTAATGTGACCAGTGGGTCTTATAGTTCTTCCCAAAGGGTCAACTCTACTGCATCAGTGTCCCTGGCCAGGTAAGCACACACTATCCCATAGAGACTCTTGTGAATTCATGGAAGTACAAACGATATGGACGTATTTTTTTTTTTCCTATTGGGGTCAAGGGCAGCCAGGAACACGAAGCCCAAGATCCGCTTGGCACATAATCAGAGAATCCCACCAGCCCATGGTTGTATTTCCACCACGATTTAGGACATTTTTGCTGTCAGTGTGTCCCCCAGGGCCTGAGACCTAGTCTTGTGCAGTTTCATTCTAGAATGATTTAGAAATAAATTATATTTTGAAAGAATGGACATGTTCACTGTTCATGTAGTTAATCTTTCAAGAAAATTTTCACTTGCCCATGATGAGGGCTTGGGAACCCTCGCCATAGGACTGGCCTCTGTCCCTAATCTTTAGCAAGGGACCCCACCTGACCCTCAACTTTGCTCCCAGGAAGGGAAGTGAGCAAATCAATTCATTTGTCTGGAAAGATTTCCGAAATGAGAAGTGGTGCCTGCCTGCAGAGAGCGGGAACACGGTTCAGGACAGACTAACCCCATGGCTTGTGCATGGCCCAGGGCAGACAACCCAGCTCAGAGGAGGAAGATGGCTGTTGTCTCCACACAAGCCAGGCCACACAGCAGCAGCAGGAGTGGGAAAACAAATGCATTGCACGGCACTGGGCACACTGAGCATCGTGATAGATGCTCCTTCGTGCTGGCTCACCAGTCACACATCCTTCAGGGATGAGGGAGGACCTGGCACTTACATAGGAAACCAGAGTAGAGAAGAGACAGGCAACGAGGAAGCCTCAGAGATGAACAAAGTCAGGCCACCTCTGCGACTCCTCATCAGAACCCCGGGGCCTCCTGAGAATGGCCTCTGGGCTCAGCTTTGGAATTTCCTTCTCACATGTGAACAATAGGCAGGGAAGGGGCACGTCTGGCTGAACACTGTCAATGCTGAGGACATCGATGACAATGGCAGGAAAATCACAGCAGTTTGTCTCCCGAGCCAGTCACCAACTCACCAGCTTTTCCAGCTCAATAATCTTCTTTTCCTGCTGGTGTATTTGCTGATTCTTCATCTCTAACACCTGCTTCAGGCTCTTCATGTCTTCCTCCAAGTGCTGATAAGGGGCCAGTGCAATCTACCGGGGCAAAGAGCCAGGAGCTGTTGGCCAGGGTCCCCAGCAAAACCTAGCATGACCCTAGGCTGTGAATCCAGCTAGATGTGGCCTGTAACAAGCTCTCTGGTGGGCGGCTGCAGCACCAGCCAGAGAGCCAGGAGGCTCACAGCCTCCCCAGATAAGTTCTCCTGCTGAGAACTCTCATGCAAACCCAGCTCTGGATGGTGGGGAGCTGTGAAACACGGCCATCGTTCACTAAAAAATCTGGATACTAGATTGGCTGGATGCTGCCACCACCCCCAGAAGGAGACTCATGGGGCAACAAGAACCCAATGCTGCCTTTGAACATGCTCCTAGACACCTTGATTCACCAGGCAACCGGGGACCTTGTGGATGCCACGTGAGCCCATGGCGAGGTCTTGCCCTCATACATGGGAAAAAACCAAAGTGGCTTAAAGAGCAGAAAAGTCATTTAAGAAAAAGACATGTTAGAGCAGGGTTCAGGGAGGCAAGCAACAAAAACCCAGGACAACTGCAAAATCTGAATTTCAGACAAACAACATGAAAAAACATTCTAGTGTATTTCAAGGGAGATACTTATCTTCAAAACATCACCTACCTTCGTTCAGATTTAACTGGGTGCTGTGCATTTCTGCTGTCAGCACTACACTAGAGGGAAGGGGGTTTCTAGGTTTTCTGGAAAAAGCTTCCCTCGATTCATGCCTCAGCTGGTGTCCTGGGGCCAGCCTCAAGAGGCTTGGGGTGGAGTGTCTAGACTGTTCCTGTCACAGGAGCCTAGGGACCCTGTCCGGGGGGTGCTTTGGGATTTGGTAAAAAATGACAGGTTGATGGAGAAGCCCACAGCTGTGGCCTGTCTCAGGGGACAGGCACTGGCAGGCATTGTTTAAGCCTCCCAAGGAGGTCGTGATCAGCTGTCACTTTGGCAGCAGATCAGCACAGAAGCCTCATCCTTGGGCTGGACACCAGGCCTCCCGGGTGCTGGGAGCCTGGGCAGCAGTGACTACCTCCAGCTGCTCTTCGGTGTTTTTCCTCAAAGCCTCCTCGAAGCGATGGGCTCGGTCCCGCAGAGACTGGCTCTGGAAGGTCAGTGTGTCCACCTGGTCCTGCAAGTAAATAACGTCCCTGTGCAGTTAGTTTATCGCAAAGCATTGTTCTCGGTTATAAAGCTGAAGCTGGAAACCTCCGCACCCTCCTAGGCTTCCTTCTCTGCCCTGAGACCCCTCCCACCACCACCACCAAGACCTCTAATTACCAAATCAACAATTAGCAAGTCCGGCCTATTCATGTCCCCGGACCCAGGACCTCTGCCATTCCTGCTCCCTCCACCCAGGCTCAGGCACCTCGGTGGCTCCTTCCTAACCCCAGCACTCCTTGGTTGCTCTCTGGCCTGCAGGCCACAGCCAGGCTGCCCTTGTAGCCCGCAGACCTGAACCTGCCGTCCCACTAGCTGCACCTCCACTGTCCTCAAGGCGAATGCACGTTCCTCATACAGCATCAGAGCCAGCCGGGGTCTAGACCTCACATCCCACCTTCCCCAGTGCCGGCACCTTCCTCTGCCCGTTCCCTCTCATCCCCTCCTCAGTTCCGGGCCCCAGCTGACCTTCTGGGCTCAGGGCTGGGTGGCAGGTCCCCAGCACAAATCACTCTATGAGCCGAGCCACCCAGCATGTCCTACCTTCTCCCCACTAGAGTGACACTCCCAGTCCCCAGCACATGCCAGCCACAGGCGGCTTTCTATGTATATATTGAAGGAACAAAGGTGTGTTTGAGGAGTCACTGAGCCCCTTCCCCAGCTCCCAGGGCAGAGGAAACTACACTGACCCCTCCCCACCCAGCCTCAGCTGTGGACCTCATCACCATGGAGTGAAGGACGCTGGACAGTGAGTTTCTTATGATGCTTAAGGACAGCCTCATTCTTCTGGCTCACTCGGGCTGAGTATTCCAAAGTCCTCCACCCCAGGACTCCATTTCTGTACTATTAAAGCACAGGGACTAGAGTCTCCCATGAACTGCTCTGGCAAGAGAAACGGCCTCATCCCACCAACTAGTAGGAGCAGAGTACTTTAAATTCTGTGACTCCACACAGGGACTCTAGTGTCAAGGTCTGCTTCCTTCCTTCATCCTGGCAGATGCTCTGGTTTGCAAACATCCCTGGGCGGGTTCCTTTTTCCTCTTTCTTTCCTTTTTTCTTTCTTCCAGTTACTTGCATTTCCTTTTGAAGAAAGTCCCCACGGTACCATTAAATGCAAATGCTCGTACATGAGGGCAATAGAGTTGTCAGTGGGAGTTTGTATGCACTTGACAAGCGCAGGGAAATCGCCGCCGCTGAGGGCGGCCCCGTGGGGCTCAGCGCAGGTCCACTGTGCTGCTGCGGCTGCCTTCCAGAATGTGCCTATAAAAATGTCTGCATGGCCACCTGAGGCTCACCCCACACCTCGTCAGAGCTGTCCAAGGAAGCATTTCCTTTCACCTCTTCCTCATCATTAAAACGCCAAACATCAGACAATTACCACCCAGGATGGATCTAAAATACCAAACCGATTTTTCTGACTTGTTCACCATTATTCAAAACAGACCCACAGGGACAGAACAGTGCTGCAGTAATCAGACAAGACAGGCTGATTCTCAACTTGGGTTTGCTACTTTATGTCAGGCTGAGACACAAAGACCCAGCTGGTGGCCCTACCCAGCATGGACCACTCACAAGTCAACAGATGGCATGATAACAATAGTGATGATAATCATAAATGTCACAGCGGTTGCAGCTATTGTCATAGCAAGAGCTGCTACTTATTAGCACTTGGCACAAGCCAAGGTAGAGCTACTCACTTTCCACACATTATTTCCCTTAATCTGCCCACACGTTGAGAGAGGTACCGCTGTCATCCCCATTTCACAGGAGAGAAAACTAACATTTACAGAAGTTATGTAATTGTCAAAGACCTCAAAGCTAGTAAAGACAGGCCAGAAAAGTCTTAAACCCAAAGCTCAAAATCTGTAACTGCCCAAACTAGCTATTTCTCTAGCAGCCAGTAGCCCAAGGAAGTTGGCTGTAGCTATTCCATACACCTTGTACTGAATCATCTTCAGCCCAGATGGATTATGCTGAGGGAAGAGCTATGACAAAAATATGCAGAATTTATGACCATTTGATGTTAGTGGCAGAGGAAAGATGAAATGATGAAACAAAACTGGGTCCCTGTGCATGTGTGTGTGTGTGTGTGTGTGTGTGTGTGTGTGTGGTGTGTGTGTGTTGCTGGGGATGGAACCCAGGGCCCTGCGCATGTGAGGCAAGCTCTATCACTGAGCTATACCCACACCCCCTAAAGTTTTCCAATAGTGCACTCTATAGCTGTGACACTGGTATCTCCACAACCCTGGGTGCTTTGCTTTTCTGGGCAGGGGAGCATCTATATAATGTATACTGCCAGGGAAAAGGGACCCCACATGGAAGAAGCAAAATTCCTGCTTATATATTAGTTATGGGAATCATCTTCTGTGATTTCTAGGTACAAGTGTCCCTAATATTTAGAAAAATAATCTTTTTATGGTCAGTCTTTCTACACTTGGAAATGAAACTGGTTCCCTTAACCCACTGCCCTGCCCCTGCCCCTGCCCCTTGCTTGCGTGGCAGCAATTCCTTAGGGCTGGGACTGTCACTGGCCTCTCACAGAAGCAGCTGGCCTGGGCCTCTGGAAGGTAGAAGGGAGGTGCACGTGACCTGGGAGACCTGCTGTTCGCCTGGAGACCAACGGGAAGCCAGGCAGCTTCTCTGGCGTTTGAGACGTTCTCTTTAGAAGGCAGTAAGGGGCAGAAAGGGCATTTTTTCATCTTGCCGACCTCCAGGTGACTGAAGTCCCTTTTAAAATACTCAGAGTGTAATCCATGAATCAACCTTGCAGCTCCCCTTGCACCACTGCCCCTGCCTAGAACGTTCTCTTCCTTGAATGCACCCGTTCTTCAAATACAGCTTAGTTACCCATCTGTCTCCAGCTACAGCACTTCTGTGACGCTCACTGATGGTGCTCCTCATTTGGAGCAATTACGTGTTACCTTTTGTGGCTGTCTGATACTATTTGTGTCACAGCTCTCTTACCACCGATTCCTAAAGGGCTGGGAATATGTCTTATTTACCTGTATATTCTAGTGTTTAAATCAGGATCTAGTATTTAGTTGGTGCTGGATAAATGTTTGTGAGTAGAATTGCTGCAGCTGCTGCTCCTGCTGCGTTGGTGTCAGTTAAGAAGATCAAGGAAACACTAACCTGTAATGACAGCCGCAGCTTTTCAAAATTTTCTTCTAATTCCTTTTTCTCAAGTTCATGGGTAGATATCAATTCTGGAGTGAAGACAGTGTTGATATCAAATTATTACGTTGGTTTTTCTTTTGAAAAGGATAAAACAAGGCTCTGGGCCAAATAACTTTAGGTAAATAAATAAATCCTGGAAATAACAGATTTAAGGCTAAAGAGTCCATTACTCCAGCTGGTACGTGATGACCAGGTTGCAATGTAAAAGAAATAGAGCAAGAAGGAAGGAGGGGCAGGAGAGAAAAAAGGGGAAGAGGAAAGAGGGGGAATCAGAGCACATGTATGCACTTGTGCTCTCGCACAGGTCCACATCCATGTCCACATACACACGTGCATACGTACACACACACACACACACACACATGCACACGCACACACACACACCCTGTCTGCATCCTGTGGCACAACCAGCCGGGCCAGGTCAGATCCTTTGTTGCCAGTGCTCATCAATCCTTTCACTTTTCCTAATGGTAAAACAACTGGGTACTTCACATTAGATGCCCATTTTCTCCCCATCACAGGACTTTTCTGGGGCCTGGGGAAGGAGCTTTCCAAGGACAGTGGTCCTGCAGAATAGCTGTCCTGCCAGCCTTGCTGGAGAATGGACGGCGTGGATGGGACCTGTGCCGGGTCTACAAGGACCCTTTGGTGGCCTCTGGGCCATACTCAGAACTACAGACCCTGAGAATTTGCTTGAGCCAAGATCTAATGTGAAGTACTTGGTCAGAATGAAAGACTAATCAAACTGGTTCCTCTTGGAGGGTTTGCAGCAATTCTGTTCCATGAAATGTGTCATCCCAGAAGTAATTTGGGTTAGGCAGAAAGAAATGTCATGTAGGAGTTATTAAGCAAATGGATTCTATTTTCCTCCAGATGGGAAGAGTCTTATTAGCTGGGTGAAGCCCATTTCATTCTGGCTATACGAGCAATTTGTTTTCATGTTAATAACAAGAGAGAGGAAAGGTCATTAATCAGACCGGATCATATGCTTAGAATAGGTGAGTACTGGAGACCAGCAATTACCATTTTGGCTGGCATGAACTGCAATTAGGAAAAACTCTGTGGTTTCCATTGATCCAAATCTTTTAACTAGTGTTGTAAGGGTTGCTAAGAAATCTAGTTGCCATAGCTGAAATTTGCATTTAGGGAAAAAAAAAAAGAGTTTATGCTGATTTCTCTGACATAAAACCAAGTAGCCTTCTGGTCTACCTGCTTTTGTGTAAATGATTAGTTTTAAGAGTCATTGAGGCTCTACTTGGTGTACAACCAGAGAGATGAAAAATTGCATATGAATAATCTGTAATGTGTATGTGTAGTATGAATTGTAATGCATTCTGCTGTCATATATAATAAATTAAAATTTTAAAAAGAGGCACTGAGGGCATCATTCTAAGCATAATAATGATTATTTTAGCTCTTATTATATATACCCTCATTGTCTTCACATTAGATAATTCAAAGGCCTTGGATGTGATGTCTAAATAAGACTTCATTTGTGAGAAAAAAATCTACCAGGTTTATTTACGTGAAATTCACAAACAAAAGACAACATAATATCATCGATTAGCACGCCATTTGCATTTCCTTTCCTGAGATCAGGTTTCTATGGTGTGATGATGGACATTTTCAGATGACCCTAAAACCCCAGGGGAAAAGGAAATCCAGCATCAATTCTGAAGATGACCCAAACCTTGCTTCTTACATAATATGTGTCCCCATAATGTAGTTCTTCATTTCCCGACAATCTGTCCTATGTAAACACTGTGCTCTAGAACAATGGTTCTCAAATCTTGCTGCATGTTAGAATCACCTGAGGAGTTTTAGGAAATCCTGATGCGGAACCTAACAGCAATTACATTGGAATCTCTGAGGGGATTGGATGTGTTGTTTGTTTTAACTCTCCAAGTTGTTCTAGTGTGCAGTCAACCATAGGGACTAGTACTCCAAGGACACAGGTAATATATTTAACTAGTTCTCGGAAAATAATTCTTTCTTGCCTCCAGCATGGACTTTTTCACTTACTAATAGTTCCCAGAGGTGGTGGGGCTGGCACTTGAGGGAGGTAATAACATGAAATGGATTACTGCACTGTGGGTTTTGTTGTTTACTAAGAATATTTTAATAATAAAAACTTCTGGTGTTCATTCTCAGATTTTAAAAAACATTATTGATCCATTGTTAAATTTCATTGTTTTTAATATATACTTTTAACAACCAGCTCTACTGAGGGAAAAATTAAAAGACAGGGAAATTTAAAAAATGTAAGTTGCATATATTAATATAAATGCATTTGAAAGTGTAAAAAGCTTCTTATTTCCCAAAGGAAAATCCAAGTAGAATCTACTAATGTTGTTTTTATGGCTTGCATAAAACCTTATCCAAATTACATTCATCTGTTTTTTGTTACTCTAATGAAATACCTGAGGCAGGTTTCTTTTATAAAGAAAAAGAAAGTTTTCTGTAACTCACAGTTCAGAAGATTTAAGGGCAAGGTGCTAACATCAGCTCAGATCTAGTGCAGGACTCATGGTGGGAGAATGCTATAACATCTTGAGTGTCCTCTAAAGATCCATGTGTTAAATGCTTGGTCACCAGGCTGGTGGTGGCAAAATCTTTAAAAAGTAGGGCCCAGTCAGAGATCTTTAGATATTGGGGATATGTCCTACAAGGAGATTGAGAGATGCTTGCCCTCTTCTCCTTCTCCTTTGCTTCCTGGCCATGAGGCAAGTGATTTTGCTCTGCCACACACTCCCATGATGGACTGCCTCACCACAGGCACCCAAAAAATGAGGCTAATTGATCTGGATTGCCACCTTTAAAACTCTGACCTGAAACAAGACTTCTCTCTCTTTAAGTTAATTATTTGAGGTAGTTTGTTATAGTGACAGAAAGTTGACTAACACAGAGTACCAGAAGAAGGAGATCACCTCATCGAACAGAAAATCAGGGTGACTGGGGCCCCACAATCCCTTTTGCAGGCATATCTCCAATGATCTAAGGACCTCTCACGAGGTGCCACCTCTTCAAGATTCTATTATCCCTTCTATTGCTACACTGGGGACCAAGCCTCTATCACACAAATAAGCCACAACCAAACCACAACACAAAGATAATTCATTTGCAAAAATGTTGAAATAAAGATCTGGGGACTCAACTTATCTATATGGTGGATAGGGACAACTCAGGAGATGGTCCTGAGATTCGCCACACGTGTGGGAAAAGTGCACCCTCATTGGCATTTCCACTTGGTTTTATAAGACCATAGCACAAGAGGAAGCCCAAGATTTCTGTGCCTGCTTCAGAAGAGTGGTCCTCAAGTCAGGCTTCATATTAGACTCACCCAAGGAACCATAAGAAATCCTGATGCCCTTACCACAGCCCAGAACAACTAAATCAGGTTCCTGGGTGTGGGAACAAAGCTGACATGTGTTTTTGTTATAGCTCCCCAGGGGATTTCAGTATTTAGGCAAGGTTAAGAAAATCTGCTCTGGAATAGAGAAATTACCTACATCCTCCTCCACCCCCCCCCCCCCCCCCCCCCCCCCCGCCCAGTGCTAGCGATCAAACCCAGAGCATCATGCATGCTAGGCAAGTGCTCTACCACTGGTGGACATCCCCACCTCTACCTGAATCCTTCATTTCTATTTCCTCTTTTTACAGGAACCCACACAAAGGATGCACCAGGAAGAAAAAGAAGGAGAGAAGTGCTCTTGCTTGGCTTGCACAGCTCCCTGCTCTCTGCTGCCTACAAGGCTGGTAGGTACCTTGGACTTTGTGGTCATGGTCATCCTGCAGAATCGCGATGGCAACCGTGTGGTTATTTTCCATCTCCAGAAGAGCAGCCTCATGGCTGGCGGTGATATCTTCCACCTGAAGAGGAATCACAATACTGGTTACCAGGGAGGTGGGCAGTGGTTGCCAGTGATAGCCTCACTGCTAAGGAAACAGAGGTTCGATTCAAGGAGAAGAAAAAGGCCAGTGGCCCTGGACATCAGGTGACAGTCACCCTCAGCCTGGTGCCAAGGGAGAGTCAGGATTTGCTGGAGACGTGGCAGTTCCCAGAGTCATGGGGGAGTCACTGCTATAATCTGGCGGTTGGAAGAAAGATGGCGGCTCCACTTGGTGATGGCTACCTCATCCACTTCTTCAGAGCCCTGGTCTGGTTTCTCTTTCCATTCCTATCCCTTCCTTTTGCTCCACTCTATAAGTATGGAAAAAGAAAAGAAAAGCATCCTCCCTTCAAAATGGAGGGAAGTGACATTTACTAAGCTACCTGACTTGGGTTATTCCACTTAACCCTCAGAGCAACTTTATAAATCAATATTTTAATGCACTTTTTACAGATGAGGAACCAGAGGCTTAGAGAGGTATAAAATATTTTGCTCAAGGCTAGCGAATGGCGGAGCTCGCAGCAGGGTCCAGGTCTGCCTGACCCCCAAGGTGAAGTTCTCTCAAACACACCACTGTGGCCTCTACCCAAGCCAGACCATCAAGTAACATTTAGATCCCTTCCTCAGTGTCTAGATGAGGCCAACAGACTTACATGTGTTTGCAAGTTCCTAAACATAAGCTTGTCCCCTCTCCCAGGTGACAATGTGCAGGCAGTCAGGACTTTTGATTTTCGCATTTCCTGTTTCTTCTACCCCACCAATTCCTACCCATCATCTTGCCTATCATGTTCACTGATGTTGTGTTTTTTAATCATGGCTATGGTTTTGTTTAACTTCAAATGTAAGACTTACTGGATTAATGGCATAAAACAACCTCTCCCTAGGATAGCAAATCTCTCCTGGACATAGCATACCATATGATGTTCATCTAAATTCTTTTGAGAGTGACCCACTGCAAAAAAAAATTCCACTACGGACTGCAACACAGCACACATGTATATACATGCATGCACGACTCCATATCTGAAACCAAACTGTCATAAGACAATACTTCTCCTGGAACTTACAATAATTTGGTTTTAAAACTTTTATTCTATTTTACAGAATGCTAGTTAAAAGCCATTAAACTTATTTCATGACCTAGGAATGTATGGAAACCTGCCATTTGAAAACCAGAATCAGACAATGTGTCTGGGTCCTGAAGCACTTAGGTGGACTGATTAGGAACCCATTGCTTCTCTCTGGTAATATTCAGCCACCTCTGCAAGAATCTCATTTCTCTGGGGGATAATTCTTATAATTTCTTCTGTGATCTAAAAGGAGGAAGGACTCTTTACAAGAAGGGAAGCCTGCTTACCAACCTATGAGAGAATTTTCATTTAAAAATGGCTAGATTCCCATTGTGGATCATATAATTTTATGGGAAAAATTTCCTGACTTTCCTCTTAAGGTAAATGAGACTTTTATTCTCTAAAATGGGAACAATCATTGGATAAAAGCAATAATGGAACCCACAGAATTACCTAGGAAAGCTATATCTCATC